CTGTCTGGCCAAAGGATATTTTCCTCCAAGGGGATTCAAATTTATTCTGGAAGTAATTCATTTTCATTATTTCTAAGGTTAAGCCTCTTTTAATTGTCATCTCCTTCTCTAGTTTGAGATGTAATAAGACAATTCAGTGAGGGGGAATGGTTTTTCTTCATCATTGGGTTTCATCTCATTTGATGTCTGTCTAACAGATATGATCTTGCACATTGGTTGATGAGTGTCCGGATGTATTTTTCACATGTGAAGACTGGGGCTTCAATGGCGGGGCAGATCAACTTTTTCTGGGGAAATCTGTTTTGTCCATAGAAGCCCATAGTCTGTAGAGGCGAAAAAATGAGGACATTTGTGTTTATTTCTTGCAACGATGCACTAAATTTTATACCATTGAAAAGCCTGTTTGTTTCCCCTTTTTATGTGTTGAGGACCAGAGTTGAGTATTTGGGTCGCACCCATGAAAAACTCAATCTTGTCTGCCAGTGCCATTGTTTCGTTTACTGGATTGGATGATTGAAGTCTGAAGAAAGAGGATGTATTGGCAACAATTTATTAATTTAACGAGGGGGGCCTCAGTAGCACGTGGAAGAACATTATGCAGCCACAGCCTGGCACCTCCTCCTTGTGCTGGTCACCAGCTGTGTGACCAGCATTTGTTTTAAGTAAGCCAGTGTGGTTGCACATGCTATACCTCCCACAACCACTTGCCACCTGGTTGTGGACTACACACTTTGGTTACCAGGATATCACAAACCAGTCTCTAGGCTTGTATGAAGAAGGATTTAAGAAGGTTATTTAAAGCCACAGAAAGCTTGTCGCTGAATCTTGTGCTTCGTATTGCTGAACTATCACTAGTAAAGTTCTATTGTGGCTAAATGCAGGCACCACAGAAAAGGAATGTGTGGCATGAAAAGGACAGTATGTGTGCCTCTGCTCCACTGATTTTGATCTAATTGATCAAACTGGAACGTGTTAATGAAGTGTGCTGCCAACTCAGTATTCTTTTGCACTGGCTGGATTTCACTGTCTGTGAGAAGTTTCTATAACACTCAGTGTTGATTTCTGCCTTTATCGTAAGACTAAAAAAGACGCTGAGTAATATTGTTTGGAATAAGAGACACATTTTATGGACCTTTGCTGTTCACTGCAGCTGAAGACGTCAGGATGCCTCATTTCTTCTGTGATCAAATTCTCCTTTTAGTTTGTTTGCTGCTATTTGAATGAAATGGATAATATTGACTTATTTTCACCAAAATCAGACAAAGCTGTGCAATAAATCTCGGCCATCAAGGCCATTAAAATTCATTTAACAAAGAAGGCCTCTTTAAGAAGCCACTGCAGCAAGTTATGAGTTTGCATTAACATTAGCTTAACCTTCCAGGGCAGGAAGTGACTTCATTTACAGTTTGATAAACCACCGCAAAATAAATCACTGGGGCAGACAACCAGTAAAAAGAGAGAAGCAGCAGGATAAATAGGACAGTAGCACTGAATGCTGAACATACTGTGGCACCTTACTGGCACACGTGAGCCATCCATGTGGCAACTTTCCGTGCTCATTACTGCTTGTGCCTGATTTGATCTCTACTGCAGGCTAGTTTGCAGCTCCAGTTAAGAGCAGCTTAAGAAAATGGATCTTTTTTCATGGCAGCTGTAGATGCTGCTTGATTGTTGGAGAAAGCACAGCAGCAGCAAGCTGCCATCGGTTGAAAGGAGGAAGAGCGGTTATCGCACAGTAAACAGGGGGCAAGAGGGGGGGAGGCATTAGGGTACAGCACAGCCAGGCCTTTCCACTGTTACATAAGATGTGTCTTCATGGCAACAAAAGGCCTCTGTCGTTTTCTGCTCCCAGCCCTCAGCCCCGCCGGCTGTGTCCTTAACCCCATCGACCTCATTAAATATTCCCCTCTGCTCTCCTCATGTATCCCTGTTTACTTTCTTTCTTTCACTTTATTGTCCTTTTTCCTCTGTGGATCAGTTATTACCGCCAAAGGTTCTTCATAACCATGTCACACACTGAAAAACACTGGAATTTATATAAACACGAGTATTATTACAGTGGCATGTTTAAAGTTTCAAATAATGTGGAAATTTTATGTAGAAGTATCCCTGTAGGCCAAACTTCAGGTGTTTTTTGTACTCTTTGTTCTTCATGATGTCATTCTGTCATTCTCGTAGTGAGAAAAACACGCCACATTTAATTTGAGGATTTTCACTCTTGGGAGAGGTGCTGAAGAGTCTATCGATGAATGATTACAAAAATGTATTAGAAAAATACACTCAGTGATTGCCATATCATCCTCAGAGATGTTAACCAGATACAGAAGAACTGGGCCCATAACACAGCCCTCCTTTCACCGTCGTTGGAGATCATTTTTTTGGTCTCCATGTTCCACCATAACTCAGATCACAGGGCGCAAGCTATTTAAGTATCTCCCAGATTATTAAGGACTCAGTTGGTGGTAGAGCTCTGCTGTTGTGGAATAATTTATTAAGATCACCATCGAGACCTTTAAATCGAGACTAACAACCTATTAATTTCACTTGCAAATGCAGCTTTAAAACCTTCCTGCTGGAACCTCATTTTGTGTTTGCTTTAGTTTTATTCTCCAATCTGTTAGAGTACTCTGCACTTTGTAGTTATTAAGCATTTAATGATAGATGGTGTTTCTTAAACGAAACGGTTTAGATATTTTGTAATGCTAAATATGCAGTGATATTTTGTAACAGTACAATACAAATAAAGACAAATAAAATCTAATTATAGATGAATCATAAGAGAGATATAAGTCATCTAGTTCATAAAAAAGATGACAGATCGACTCTTAAAAAGGGTTCAGGGTTGGATAGGGTTTGACCCCTCTGACATGGATTATTGTGAGGATACAGCCTGACCATTGCAAGCTCTTACATAAGGCAGTGCAATAAAATAGATGGTGCTGGCCTGTTTACCAGCCAGACCCAGAATCATCTGCTGCCTCGACCTACATAAAACCTTCCATGTGGAGATTCAAATCTATAAATAACAAAAGTGCAGTTGCAACCAGAAGATCATTTGATGTGATGGGTTTTGTTGGTGAACACAACCTTCAACATTAGCACTGTGTCATCATTTAGGTGCCACACTGGATTAAAGTTTGTGCTCAAGCTTGGTCCTGTTTGTATGTCACTGTATATTCTTACATTTCACAGGACAGAATAATCTTTATCATTTCACAGACATGGTTTCTTCATAGCCTCTGATGGCCTTGCTTACACCGATATGACGAGGGCCATTTAACAAATAATGAGTGCACATTGTTAGTGCCAGAAAAAGCTCAGAGAAGATCCGGGACGGGTGGATAAGTCAGCAAATCTCTTACCAGCATTCAGCTTTGGTTTCTTTTACTCATTACTACATTTGTCTTTTATTTTATTTATTTTTTCAGCAGCGGTCCCCAACCCCCGGGCCACAGACCAGTACCGGTCTGGTTCTGCCGGAGGTTTCTTCCTGTTAAAAGGGAGTTTTTCCTTCCCACTGTTGCCAAAGTGCTTGCTCATAGGGGGTCATTGGGTTTTTCTCTGTATCTATGAAGCGCCTTGAGGCGACTTATGTTGTGATTTGACGCTATATAAATAAAATTGAATTGAATAGAATTGAGTTGAGTCATTTGGTACCGGGCCGCGAGAGTTGAGATTTTCAGTTTATGGTTTTCAGGGTTTTTATCGTTTTTTTTTATCGTTAACTCCGTTTCTCTGGGTCTTTTCCCGTGTGTTATGAATAAATCTTTTTTTGGTACCAGTACTGGTTTTATTTTGTTGTATTTATCCACCACAAATACAATAAACGAACCGGTCAGTGGTGCAAAAAAGGTTGGGAACCGCTGGTTTAAAACATACAGAATGTTTTAAATTATGCCTGGATGATTGATTTGTGAGGCTGATTTTTATTTAACCTTGTAGAAAGTAAAATGTTAAAACGGATTTATGCTTTCTGCTCAGATAGCACTTATCTTAAATCAGAATCAGAATCAGCATACTTTATTAATCCCTAAGGAAATTATGTGGGTTACAGTTGCTCCAGTATAAATATCAATAACAGAAACAGACAAGACTATTTAACAATACAATATGTTACAGATTTAAGAAATTTAAGAAATAGAACAATATATACAAATCACTAAATAATAAATATCAAGGATTGACGGAGGTGATTATAAATAAATGTCAAGAATGTTGACAGCAACATTACTGAGTAGAAAAGAGTGTGTGCAAAAAGGATGTAACTATTGCAGTGTTTACAGTGTGTTAGATGGAGGAGCTGTACAGGGAGATGGCCACAGGCAGGAATGATTTCCTGTGTCATTCAGTGGTGCTTTTTGGTAATCTCAGTCTGTCACTGAATGTGCTCCTGTGACTAGCCAGCCCGTCATGGAGTGGGTGGGAGGTGTTATCCTGCATTGTTTTTACTCTGGTATAACATTCGCCTCTCCGACACCACCTTAAGGGAATCCAGCTCCATCCCCACAACATTACTGGCCTTGCGGATCAGTTTATTTGCATATGCGACCCTCAACCTGCTGCCCCAGCATGCAACAGCATAGAGGATAGCACTGGCCACAACAGACTCACAGAAAATCCTGAGCATTGTCCAACAGATGTTGAAGGACTTCAGCCGCCTCAGAAAATAGAGATGACTCTGGCCTTTCCTGTAAAGTGCAGTGGCGTTTTTTTTGTTTTGTTTTGTTTTGTTTTTAAGCTAGAGATATAGAGATTTTGAGAATATGAACTAGACTGCACATAATATGTACATCCCCCTTTTGCTTACTGCAAAGCAGCTTTCAAAATCATGTTGTAAGTTGAACAGAATCTTGATATTTGATGACATTTATTAGAATTTTGTTACAATTTTGAATTTATATATGTGGGCTCTTTTGTCTCCAGTCACATCCCGTTACTCATTATGCAACAGGGTTTGTTAAAATAGTCTGACGCTAATGACAGCATTCTTTCTTTCACAGTTAAATCTGACAACAAGGACAAGCAGGAGAAGACAGACATCGTGTCTGGGAAAACAGACAAGATTGACAACTTTGACAAGAAGGAAGAACAGCAGAAGGACTACGGCCCAGACAAGAACCAGAAGTCTGAGAAGATAATCAAAAACGAGGAGAAGCTAGAGAAGATGAACGCGGAGAAAAACAACAAGGCCAATGAGAAGGCGGAAAAGGTAGACAAGCCGGAGAAGACCAACAAAGATGAGAAGAAGGAGGAGAAGGGTGTGAAAGGGACGGCCAAGTCTCCCACAGGGAATGGTAGCAAGACCCTGGCGAGCCCTGACAGCAAGAGCAAGGTGGGTCACATACAGACACGCAAAAAGAGAATAATTAGTGTCATCTACGCACATTTCCAGCACGCAAACTGCACAGTCATCGTGGTAAAAGCAGTCACCCGATAATAACAAGTCTGACCTCCCACAGTTGCAACGAAAGCCTGTGAAGTGTCCTTGAGTAAGACACACAATTGCTTACAAATGCTGCAGAAGCTGATCACAGAAATCACAGAAACATATTTCCTTTATCTCTTGTGTGTGTGCTAGGGGAGGTCTGTGTGTGTCTGTCTAAAGTCTTGGTCACACCAGTATTTTACCTTCTGAGGCCCATGTCATCATAGGTGGTAACCCTAAGCTTGGTGTGAATAGCGTTTGATGTGCGCCAGTTGGAATAATTGTTTTATTTTCTGATTGACAGGACTACATTACACACACAC